TGGGCCTTGCACGTGTCGATCTGCGAGGTAACCGATTCCAGCCCCTGCTGGGAGCAGCAGGTCTCGATGTGGCTGGCATCTTCACGACACAGCTGACACTGCTCGCCACCACAACCACGGCAGAGGCTGTCCATGCAGGATGACACGCAAGCAGACACGGTGTTTACGTCTTCGCGGCAAAGCTGACATTGCTCTCCACCGCAGCCGCGGCACTTGCTTTCAATGCAGTCCTTCAGGGACTCTGCCGAAGCCAATGCCAGCACCAAGCTGAGCACAAGAGCACGAGCCATGGCAATGAACAGGCTGATGAGGTCTACACCGAGCACAGCTGCTGGTTCCGAAAATCCTGAGGCAAGGATAGCCACGCAGATCATCAGATTTCAGATGTCGCTGTGATTCAGCATCCACGCGTCCGAGCTCGACCTAAACCCCAATTCCTAATGCTGTTATGCCAAACTGCTCCTCTTGAAGCTTCATGGGTAGTTCTAAGTGAGGTTATAAGTCGGGTAACTATAGTTATAAGTTATAACCCATATTAGGGGGCTTGTCACCCCAGTTGTAACTACCCATCTTGTAACTACCCATGAACCTCCAAAACCCTAAACCCTAAACCCCTAAACCCCTAAACCCCTAAACCCTAAACCCTAAACCCCTAAACCCCCAAACTCACGGAGCGGTAGCCTCCATGGAGTCCACGGCTGCATGCTCCGGGTGTCGGAGAGCAGAGAAACTCCTGATGCTGTAGGGGTTTGGGGTTTGGGGTTCGGGGGTTTAGGGTTTAGGGTTCTGGGTTTAGGGTTTAGGATCTTGGGGAACTTTAAGGAGTACTGGGGAGAATTGCGGAATACTTGACCACTTGGCTCCATACCACAACCCCCCCGCCCCTGGACCCCCCCCCTCCCTTAATCATGGTTTGTGCGCTTTCGGTTTAAGGCTTCGGCGGGTTATGTCATGTTTGCATAAGCTGGGCGCAGGAAGCCTGTACCGTGAGACCCAAGCGCACAACCTCAACGGTCCAAAGGCCTAACCGAAGCAGGCGCAGGCTGAAGCCAAAAAAATCCTCCTACTTTCCAGGGCCCCCCCCAGATTACCCCAGAAAAAGCACAACACTCGAAGACTACAGCACCTGCCAGCCCCAGGTTCGAGCCGGCCCCTGTCATCATGTCATCCATCAGCTGCTGCTGCTTCACCGTGCCGCCAGAAGCAGCCGCGGAATCCTGGCTCAAGGGCTCGGGCCTACGAGGAAGCTGAGGGATCTTTTTGGCTCAGAGTTCCCCGAGGATCGTTGGTTCTTGCATCTGCTAGCTGCTGCGAGTAGGGATGGAAGAGATTCGGGGTCATGATGCAGCTCTCGCGAGAGCCCCTGTGCGATCTCAGTCGTGGTGGTGCTGCATACGGACAACGAATGCTCATGAACAGGGTCATGAGGGCCGGCATCTCTCAACCTCGAACCATACTGAACCCTGCAGAGCTGATCCCAGGCCAAGACACGACAAAGACGCTGATAGCATGGGCCATAGCTGCTGCGGTTCCTTTCTGCTGCAGCCAGGCGAGGAGGTGGTCGTTAGCAAGTGTTGCACGTGACTTCTGCTGAATTGAAAGGCTTCGGGCTGTACGGGCTCTTGCATGTTACGGTGTTCTCTCAGATGACTGGAGCGTTCCGGGGGTAGATATTGTCCGGGTGCAAAGCAAGTCAAGTTGCTTGCCGGTGATGGTGTTGCTCCCTGCAACACGCATGTGTCGCAGCATCACTATGTTTCTTGCCTCTGGCTCTCAACTCCGCGACTAGCATTCGCTACATGGAGTCCTCGGGCAGACTGGCCCTGCGTCACCGTGGCATCCGCCACCACCTCGGTCGCCTGAAGCCCCACTCCGACGCCGTAGGGTCCTCGGGCTCGCATCCGGTTCATTGAAAACTCTGGGTTTTTGTAAGGAGCTCAGAACAGCCCAATGGCCGAAAGCGGAAAGATTATAGTTCGCTTATAACGATCCACCATGACCCAGGTTGCACATGCGAAAAGGAAGTCTTCGCTAGGTGCCGGGTGGCTCATAGCTGACGCCGCACAGAAAAGCTGCAAAAGGCAGCGTTACCCGTAAATTGCCTAAGCCAACAGAAACCCGAAAAAAATGGCACTGATGATCTAAAGGCACTTTGCCAGAGGAAGGCAGGCTTTGAACCCACTCTTGCAGCCACCGGGCCAGGGCCGGCAATGGCCAGGGGCACGAGAGCTTCTGGGCCTTCCGGTCGAAGCCTGCCGTCTTCCCGTTGAAGCCAACCAGGGGTTGAGGGTTTAGGGTTTAGGGGTTTAAGGATAGGGTTTAGGGATTAGGGTTTAGGGGGCTTTTGAGCTCCAGGGCGCCACTCCTCCTGCCCCTCCTGCTGCCGCCACCGCTATTGCTACCGCTGCCACTCTTTGCTAGTGCTACTGCTGCTACCGCGACGACTACACGGCGTACTCCGTGCTTCACAGGAACTGCAACTCTCCTGAGAAGGCTGCAGCTGCGCTGATTGTTGAGGGTAGCCCTTCCACGAGGCCGAAAAGCAAGCAGCGCCCGCTCGTAGCTGCGATGGCCGCTGTGGTTGGGACCAGTAGCAAAGGCAACGAAGAACCTAGCTGCTCACTACCGCACAGGACTGCACTTGAATGTTCTAGGCTAGTGAAGTTGAGGTTTCAGGCTGGTTGCAAGTCTTGCGCCTGTTCGGTCTCCGCCGTTCGAAGCGTCGGACTGCAAGTTAAGAAGCTCGAGGCAGGTCACCGCCTCCCTGCAGCCCTCCTAAATTCAAGGACGAGCTGAACCGTGAACCACAAAGCCCGTTCAGCACAACCCCAGACTCGCAAATGCTCAGTAAGGTCCAGAATGCCGACAACAACCAGCGTTGTAGACCATCGTAGACCAACTTTCCCACCCCACCTGCCAGCAGTGTCGAGGCCCGCGGCTTTGCATCGCTGCCCAGCAGGAAGCTTTCAGCGACGGGGGCATTCGGCCACTTCGGCAGAGCGCCGTTGATGCCCTTACAAGATTCGGTGCTCGGTGCACGTATCGGATGTTGAGGGTTCCGGGGGATAGGGGGTTGCAGCGAGGGGCTTTGGGGGTAGGGCTGGTGCGGATATCGGTGATGCTTTTTACAGGTGAGGGTGGATACCCTAAAGCCTAACTCTAAAACCCTAAACCCTAAAATTCAAGCGTACTTCCGGCATCAACAAGGTTTCGCTTCGCTGAGGTCAGGGTTGACGATGCCACGGTTCGGCCTGAAGGTTTTACTTCAAACTCATATTGAAGATCTGGGACTTCAGCCTTAAATTCCCTTTCCGGGGTCTTGCAGGTCTTCATAGATTCTTTGGAGTCTTAGCTGCAGTTTTCTAGATCCGGGACCCCTTCAGGTTGAGACAACAACGAGATGGGAATTCTCATGCGCGAGCTCAGCACTCAAGTCGTCCTCTCGCAGCCTAAACTGTAGGAGCGTCCTCTAATGCTGCTGCCTACTGCTGTTGTTGCTGCAGTCTGCTTTTCGTCTAGACTGCAAACTAGTAACTAGTATTATCAAAAATGAGTTCAAGAGTAACGACAATAGCAGCAACGACACTACTATCAACGAGATTCCCAGTATGGGCCATATGCTTCCAAATGAGTATACCTAAACCCTCAACCCTAAATTACTAAACCCTATAGACCCTAAACCCTCAACCCTGAATCCTCAACCCTCAACCCTAAACCTTACACCGATGCCGAAGCTCGTTGGTTCCGGCAGCGTTGCCCTTGCCCCGCATGTTGCCGTTCACAAGCAGCTCCGTCAGATCCCGACCGGGCTTGGCCTTGGGACAAGCCGTTTGTTAGTATTATTATTATTGTTGTTGTTCATATTGTTCTTACTATTACAGTATATTACATTGCACACCGCATTCTACTATCAGAAGGGGAGCCCATATATTATATGGTGTCGTGTGATGTTGCCATATCATGCCATGCCATGTCATGTCATGTCCTGTCGTGCTACGTCATGTTATTTCATGTTACGTCATGTTATGTCATCCTTTACAGTATTGGGTTATACTATATATATTAGTTCTTATTTCATACTATATCAAACAATGCTATTTTGTAGAATAGAAAGTTATAGTAAACTATATTGCATACGATTGTATTATGTTGTATGATATTGCACTGTACTGCATTATACCACAGAATGTTATATCATAGTTGGTCATATAATATCATGTCATGTCATTTGTATGATGTTATATCAAATTTTATCAGATTATCTCAGATTATATTTTATTATCTTATTGTAGTTAGACTGTGTTGTCTTTTTTGTACAGTCCGTTATAGTGAATTCTTTTTCTTATGGCCTCATAGTTGGTTGAATGGTGAAGTAGATGCATGACATAGCACTTTACGCAGCGGCGCAGTGCAAGCTATGATGTAGGGCTTGTAGAGCCGAAATGTAAAGGGTTTAGGGTTTAGGGTTAGTGTCCCTGAAGCCCTGAGCCCCATCGTTGGGCTACAAGGTGTTGAGATGATTCATTTGTTGTCAAGAGCTCCGAAAAACTTGGAGGGCAGTGTTATATAAGGGCTGTTGCAAGTCGACTGCGGGTTTGGCGTGTCTTGTAGCATCGCACTAACAAGGAACCCGCAGAAATAGAGCTAAAGCCCTTGTAGGCGTGTCTGCTGACCGCATTGCGAAGTCGCAGAGGGGTGCTGTTGTCAGCTCTAAACCCAAGCCGGTATGAGACGGTTTAGGGTTTAGGGGTTTAGGGTTTAGGGTTTAGGGTTTAGGGGTTTAGGGATTAGGGGTTTAGGGATTAGGGTTTAGGGCACCACCCGAAATCCCAAGGCGTTCGGCAAAAAGCGGCTGGGTGGCTGAGCCACTGCCGGGACGGGTGAAGATGGGCGAGTACTGGGCGCTAGCGCGGACAAGCCTGGGAAACGGAGTCATCAGGGTTGGGCGCTTCGAAACTTTGAAGCTCTAGAGTGTACGGGGTTTAGGTGTTTAAGTGTCTGGGGCTTTGGAAAGTTTTAGGTTTTAAAGAATCACAAACTGAGGGCTAGGGTGTGAGGCTTTGGATTCAACCTCTTAGGGCCTCAGGGCTTTGAGGTTTCAGGATTGGCTCTGGATCTTGGTTTGGGCCCGTGCTTTGCAGACGGCATGTGCCCCAACAAGTGGCTCTGAAGGCACAAGGTTGCTACGGTATGGGCATGGCCTAGTCTAACAGCTGTCCATACAAGGCTCGGTTTCGAGGGGCGCCAGCACGGAATCACTTTCTCCAGAGCACTCTTCGTAGGTACGAGCGGTGAGGAAAACTCTCCGCGTGGTTATCATATCCTGGTTGATCACACCTGAAACTCCTCGTCAAGGCGAGTGAGACGGTGATGACCCCTTCCGTCGCGAATGGGTCGAAATGCACGGCAACGCCTCAAACCCTGAAAAAGCCTTCGGGGAGAAATCTGTTGATGCCAGGCTGCGGAATGATCGCGGCCGCTGCCTTCGCTAAGTCCAAGACACCGCCGTGGCCCAAACCTGAGGTCTGAATCTGAAGCATCAGGCTGCGGTGTGGAGGTTCCAGGGTTTGAGCTGTCGATTGTATTGAAGTAAGGAGTTTCGGGGGCCGCCATGGGTGGCATCTGAATTGAGCTCTCATGTAGACACGGACTGATTCAACTCAGCTATTTGTCACTCACCGTGCAGCGCAGAACCCGAACGAAGGCTATGCGGCATCACGCCAGAGCTGCTGCTACTCGGTCGGATGCGCCTGCTTGCTGTGTGAAGTGCTCTGTAACTCGGAAGGCTGACCTGCCTATAGGGTATCGTAGCTCTCTACTTGGAGGTTCATGGGTAGTTATAAGTGGGGTCATAAGTAGGGTAGCTATCGTTATAACTACCCATATTTATAACTACCCATGAACCTCCAAGCATATGGTTGTACAAAGCTCTGGACCCGTGCGTGACAACTACGACCGGCATGCAAGCGATTGCGGAAACACAAGTGGGTCAGCTGCGCAACTGCAGCCAACATCTTGGGACTGTTCGGGCATCACAGTGCAGAAACTGCAGCATAGGGTTGGGGGGTTGAGTGTTCTTCAGCAACGTCGGAAAGCCTCAACTAGCCACCTGGAATGCTGGGCAATCTTCCCGCCTCGGATCTTAGACAGAAGTTTCGGAGACAGTACCCAACAGCTCACACCAACGTCGCACCCTGAGACCATGGGGACCCGGCCGACCACGGCGTCGATGTCTGTCGATGCCGCATCGTACGTGACTGCAGGGGAGCACCGTTGCCGAGACTGTGGGGCACTTACGTTGAGATGGGCCCTTCAGACGGATAACGATAGGCAGCTTCGGCATTCATAGACCTGCCTGAGTCCACCAGGGACGGTGTTGGGCAGCGGTGGAAGAGGGATGGCTCCCAGAGATTCGTCTGGATGCCCGCCTCGGGTAGGGAGGTGCGTTATCCCACAACCTTAAGGTTCAGTTTCTGTGATTCCTCGCTCACCACAACTTCGCCGGTCCCTCACTTGTAGCGGAGCCCTCTGCTCTTCCGACATCTCTCGCTCTGAGTGCGGCTTGTTTCATAGACCCACAGGGCCTGAACCCGATTGAAAGAAGACCGGTTGTTTGGTTTTCCCTATCTTCCGGCATGACCTCTACGAGTAGGGCTTGCTGTGGGGGTCGACCGCTCAGGGCTGTCATCTTTAAACCCGAAGCCCAAACTCCAGATCCTGGACCCTCATATCGCGTCCAGTTCTTCGGCGGCCTCAGCTACGGGGCCTTGAATAGAAACCGTGAGGCCTTCAATAGACCAGGTTTCGCCTTCAGACGTCCATGCTTGTGCAAGTTGGGACTATGCGGGAAGGTCTGTAAAGACGACGGAAACCATGCTGCTAAACACTTCATGATGTGAGCTGCGATCAGAACCCCCGAAGCTCTGGGATTCGGGGATTCGGGCGACCATGGGACCACTGCGACTCGCCTGAAACACTCGAAAGCTGGAAAGCATGCAGGTCGTCCCAGCTCATTGATGCGATACTAAGAGAGCTTGTTCCTATCTGCGGGTTTCCGAAAATAGGGGACCCCAATATAGTACCCTAAATAGTAGGATCCTTATTATAAGGACCCCCAATATAAGGTACCCCCTTACAGCCGGAAACTCCCATCCAGAGCTGCCAGGTTGGTGTCTGCGCTGAGGGATTTTCATGCTTCGGACTGTGCACTCTGCTGCACTCAACTGCGCCAACGCCGAACAGACCACGACGGCAAAGTCACCCTGCCTTCTGCAAGGAGTCAATGACGGAAGCTGCCTCATTGCCTCTGTATGGTTGAAGGCTTGTAAGGTTTAGGACTTCGTTTGTAGGGTTTCAAGTCTAAGGTTTAGGCTCAAGCTCAAGATCGGAGGAGGGGTGATTGGAGCGGAGAAGCCGTCCAAAGAAGCCCTGAAGGTCTGTGCTGTGCAAAGAGATGCGCATGCTCGAAAACTTAAGCAACAACGAACCCCTAAACCCTAAACCCCTAAACCCTAAACCCCAAACCCTAAACCCTAAACCCCAAACCCTAAACCCCAAACCCCAAACCCTAAACCCTAAACCCTAGCAACGCCGCAGCATCGTCATCACCATCGCCTGCACCGTCCCCCACTCTTCCCGCGGCTGGCCTTCGGTCTTTGCGAGGATGAGACAATGCCTCGGGCAGGCTCAAAGAAGTTAGGGCTTAGGGCTTTAGGGCTGTACGGTTTAGGGCTTAGGGATTTAGGATTTGGGGTTTAGGGTTTAGGGCTTGAGGGCTTTTTAGGGTTTAGGTCCTCAACTCCAACACCCCAAGTCCAGCGGAGACCCACAGCAATGGCTGAAAGCTCGGAAGGAGAAGTGCAGCACAGAGCTAGGCCACCGCCTTAACATGCGACTTAGGTGTTTGCCAGGGATCTTCAGCGGTTTCGATCTTAACGGCTGCACCCAACCCCGCCAACTTGAACCTTCCATCACACAACGCCTATGCCCTAAAAGCCCTCAGCCGTCTGCCACCCGGGCACCGCCAACCCCGCCCGGCCGCCACTGCACCGACTCTGGACAGCGGCTTCATGGCCCGGCGCCACGGATATCGGGCTCTGGGGGTTCGGGATCGATGGTTTCAACTTCTGCTTGAGGGTTTAGGGGCTTGTCGAAGCCAGGGTTAAGGCGTCGCAGGCTAGCAGTTCGGGTTTTGAAGTTTAGGCCCTTCGTAAAGACACTCGGCCCCATCTTCGCAACTTGCATATCATGATGCCGGCCTTTCCTAACAGCCTACAAGCATTGGACCAGCACACCAAGCTTGGGGTAGCTCGGCGATGGAGTCTGTCTCTTAAGAACAAAAACAGACATCAGCATACATCATCAACAACGGCATCAAAATCTTCACCCTCATCACCGCCATCATCATCACAATGATCAAAGAGGATCGCGTCATCAAGACCCTCGTCACCACTGTAAGCATTAATTACGATAGCCGACATCACCACTCTGCTCACGATCGTCATCCATGCACCAGCAGCACCAGCCGGAGCCAATAATACTGCCAGTCATGTCACTAGGTTTGATGATATAAATCCTGCATTACCCAGAAAAAGAGTATACCATAATTCCTATAGTTTAGGATCCTGAAGGTAATGCAGGATTTCTATCATCAACCGTAGAAATTATGCAGATGAGTCTTGATCTTTCCGGGCCATCCTGACCAAAGCAACCATCCTGAAAGCTGCACCCGAAACCCAAAGGCCCTAAACCCTGAACCCTAAAGCCTGAAAAAGCCCAGAACTCTACACCCCCCACACAAGAACACATTCTAAGAAAGCCCTGACAAGAAGCGCTTATGAGGAACTCTTTGGAGCAACACTTATAAATACCCTAA